ATCGGCCAGATTCTTGTTGTGAAACAAAGCTTCAAGCGATGATAATAGATTGGAATTGATGTTATCGACGTAAAGCTGCACTCCATCAACATTTCAGAACTTTTTTTGTTACAGTAACTATCCCTTCATCAAGTACCACACAACCTTCGGACGGTACTGGAACAATCACTCCAGAACCACCAACTGCACCATCTGGTACGCATAGGTTGCTTTTCACCAGATGGAAGCTAATCAGTTTTGTCGAATACGAATTTATGAATAGGACACAATAAGATATGAGATGAGATTGATTCAGCAGTATTTATTGGTCAATTCGAATGTGTCACAGCCACTGACAGAGTTGCTCTCTTGTTTAAATGTTTGCCCATTGATTCATTCAACTATGCAGGTGCAAATTTTAAACTATCACACTTCATTGAAGTAAGCCAAAATGAGCATTTGCACATGTGTGAAATTGCTTGCTCACCATTGAATTCGCAGTAATTTCGATTCTTTTTTATTCAATTTATAATTGCTTGCATTCATTCAGGTGATATACCATCGACTTCTACTCATGGTCCAACTCCCCCTCCACCACCACCACAAACAAATACAACTATACCTATTTTACGTAATTATTTTTGTTGTTTTATCCTGTCAGATGAAAAGATGATATGAAAATCAGACAGCAGCAAGATAGCACTGTGTTCGAACGCAGCAGCTAAGTTGGATCAGCCTGAGATGGCACAGACAGTTAACTGTTTTTGCAAATGAAAATCAAAACTAAAAAGACCAATTTCGTTGCATCTCCTCGCTAATTAACTATCAGTCATAATTTGATTTCAGCTCACGGTCCATTCTACAATTGCACCGCTGATATCGTAATGGTATTTGACGCATCTCATGATGTCAGGAATTGGGACAACAGAATCGGTGTATGTTCATTCCAACAACAGTCTTTTTGCGTTACAATAAAATTCGGTTGAGATCGTTTACTCGCCCCGAAAGCCCAAAAAACAATTTGTTTCCGGATGTCAATGAAAAATGCATCAAAATTGAATCAAAAACGTGGGATGAGCAGTATGTGGTGGCATTGGTCTTGTCGAAGTTGTATTCCTAATTCTATTTTCCAAAGTTATGAATTAATCTCTAGTAACAAGTGATGAAAGCGGAAATTTTGAGCGCTTAACTGGAATCCTATCCTGCATCCTCATTGTTGAACGTAGCTCTAAGCTGCTGAGTGAGATGATCAGATGAATTGATCATCGGTGCTCTGAGTGAAGCAGCAAATTCACAAAACTATCGTAACATTGGTTGACCTCTACAGTAAATGATATTGTTGCCCTGATATGAAATGATTGAATTATGAATGAGAATATTCTCATAGAGCTGAATGTTTTTTTTCACATTTTAGCAATACAGAGCCGGCAAGATGATAGCATCACATCTGCGTTTACTTGGTAATGTATCAACCATACGCATATCAGTGGCATCGGTCGGTGCGGTATACGAGGCTGATTCGGCTCTGCTTCAACCGTTCTACGACAACTACACTCATGTTAACGATGCGATTATTCGTGTTGCAGCTAATCTTCCTGACGATGAAGGCATCCCACCGATCAGGTACAACACTCTAATCTACTGCTATCTAAAAAAATTCAGCCCATCAAACTCTTTCTATCTTACAGAGCAAAATTTTCGAAAATTTCAATGCTCAAAATCGCAGAATAGTCTACGAACAATGATACTTCAATGAAAATTTCAGTGTTGGAAACATGCTGACGAAAGAGTATTGCGAGAGCACAGACCCAGAGTACAAACTGAATCCACAGACACCAACAACGTTCATCATTTTCTCAGGATGGCCGTAAGATTCACCTGATTCATTGTTGTTTCAATAACTGAGCGTGAAACTTATGCATACCCCCATGTGAACCAATATTCCCATTTGTTGTGCTTCAAGTTTTGTCATACTGTCGCATTTGGATTGCATTCACTTCCATTAGATTAACGTTATTCTAATTGCACCTAACCGAGTGTTCATGTTTTTTGTTCACATCAGCAACGATAATTTTAGCGGCGACATACCAAACCCCGTTAGCGATCCATGGTTCAGCTGCTCAACTGCTCCCAACAAAAAAGTTTTCATGGTTGGCATCGAAGAAAGTCAGTTACTTACATTCCAGCTTGTGATGTTCTGCTTGACTTGCATTCTATCAAAATAGATCAAACGACCCTTATTGACTGCTTGAATATATCACGACTATCGTATAGGCCATCGAGTGAAAGTAATGATTAAAAACTTGCATTAGAATCAACCATGCTTTGGTCGACCAAATGAGTTCCACTGTACTTTCTATCAGATTCCTTTCAAAGCGTTTCAAAGCATACTGAGACCATGATGAGCATCAGCTTGAGCGAATCATAGATCTTTGCAGGCACAGAAAAGTTAGATTTACTCGGTGTTCCATCAACAGAGTTTTACCGCAAAATGACGGAGTTCACTTGGGAAGCTATGGAACAACTGGCCGCCGTTATCGATTCGAAAATTTGCGGTAAGAATCTGATGGAATCCAGTCCATAAATTTCATCCTGTTAACCAGACGTTTCATGAACAGACATTTTCTCAAATCAGAAATCTCACTTGAAGAAGTGATATGATTAGAACTGAGAGGTAACTAGGTTTTAGGTGACCCACAACCAGCTGCCGCTGGAAGCGATGAACGCCTCTTCCGTTCGAGTGGCTCTCACGGAGACATTCCGATCCGTAAAGATTATGATGAAGCGCCGCTCAAATGTACTCATCCTTGCTATGAAGAGCCGTGAATGAGACTGAAATTATTCATCGTTTTACTCGAAAAAATTTCCAATTTATCCTAAAATTCAGACCTGCACACAAATGATGTCGTGTCGTGCTGTTTATTTTGGATTTGATATTCTCATTCGAGCATTTCAATGAGTACATTTGATCATTCGTCTAATCGTTCATCAAGTAACGTTTCATATTTAACCAAAATCGTCACTTCATTTGAAATACATCCTATAATCTTCAAATGCTGTGTAATGCTGGAATATTATCAATGAAATCTTGACTGCAAATCATGCCTTATTAATACAATTTCAAAAAGTCCTATAGTTTTATTGTTGACAACTTAATCCGGCATTCTGCTAGCTGGGAGATCGTAACATAAGACTGAAGCTGTTCGATAGCTGGAAGATGATAAGACATTTATGATTCACTAAAACAAGCACCCAGTACAAGAGGTCGATGAATCAGAAACCCAGTAATAGTAACAGTGGTAAACAATCAGCTCTTAATAATACGATTATTTTTATTGATGTTCTCACCACTTTGAAAATAAGAACGCATTTGTGTGACAATCTTATCAGTGCATTGATGGCGTTAATGGCTTGAGAAATTCAGTCATAACGCATCCACAAAAAACTTATCACATCGGTGTAAGATGGTGCTCAATATTGAAATGGTTTACTGCTCTTTGCTAGGGTTGGGAATGGAGGAAAACCCCTATATCAGTGGTTCTCGCGTTCAGGTGTTCCATTACCCCTTTTGATGATTTGATAGGCCGTCGTTACCCCCCTCCCCCTCCCCTCTGATACAAGAACATCGTGACGATATTTGACATAGCTAGGCCTTCTGTTGGACCGTTCTACTCCTCATTATTGCAGTCGATTATGATTGCATAAAAAGCTATTGTCTGTGAAACGCACACTTCGAACTGCTTTACATGGATTCTCATTCTTTTCAGACGTGTTGTATTCGCTCTCATGGCTATCACATGCGAATATCGTTCTATTGATGAGTTTTTATCATTCACTTCGTCTCAATTTCACTTCACAGTTCAAATCAACTTCTCATTCTGTATTATATACTATTTACTGGATACGTTGACGAGTGTTGACAACCGAAATCAGCAATACAGCAATCGAATTGAATTGCTGAACAACGTTCGACAGTCAAATGATCAATTATAGAGTGTATTTGATAGAACGAG